CCCCAAAACCCCAAAACCCCAAAACCCCAAAACCCCAAAACCCCTTAATTTACCAAATCCCTTGAAATAATAATTTTTCAATAAAATGGAAAGCACTAGTGACAAAATGCTGGACCCCATGTATAACATTCATTTAGATGAAAGCGACCAGAGCTCCCTGAACACAGGCGAGGATAGCTTTGAGAAAGGCTTTGAGAAAGACTTTGAAGATATCTTAAGTGAGACATCTTGTGAATTGAACCATTTGATCGGGGTGAAAGTCAAATAAGATTGAGGATTCTGGCAGAGACCCGACCTTTGAGATTTTGACCAAGTATAAGATGAAAACTAAAGGGAGAGAGCACCAGAAGAAGGTTGTAAGGAAGTATAGTGAGTATGAGTGGTTGCAATATCAGCTGCAGAAATCCTTCCCTGGAACTTTAATACCAGACCTTCCAACTCTAAAATCAATTACTCAGCATGAAGCTGCTTGCTCTTTTAAGTCGACCTCTGACTTGCCAGATCCAGCAGATATAACCTTCTTCACTAACAATGAGAAGACAATTCTTTCATACACCAAAAGCATAGTGAGTAACAAAAGATATACCAATTTTGTGAAGCTAAAGGAATTTTTGACAAATAGCGAAAAGATTAAAAATATTCCTAACATGAATAATGATGACCCTCTTGTTCACAGCAAAATCTTCAAATTCATAAAATCTCAATCACGGTCGCTTCTAGAGTACTATCTAGGCTCCTCTACAATCCCTGACGGTATGAAGGACATTGAGATGAAGGGAAAGAACGAAGAGCTTAAGAGCCCTAATGACCTCTCTGTGCCAGAAATAGAACATCTGCTGAAAGCAGTTAAGGATTACATCACATCTAATATCAAGAACATTGAAAGCCTTTGAGAAGATCTCAGAGAAGTCATGGTCCTTATCGTCAAAGAGAAGAGCTGTTATAAAGCTATAGAAGAAGCACTTGAAGAAATCTCAGAGAAAGAGAATGATCCAGAGCTCAAAACTTTGTATGGAAAAACAGGTGAAACCTTTAGTTTACTCAGAAAGAATCAGAATAAGCTGGCTGCTGATACTAATATTTCAAAGATATCTGATCCTAAGACGAACTTGCTAAAGTTTGCAGATTTTAAAGCTCTCTCTAAGTCTTATTATCTGTTGAATCAATATTTAAAAGTAGATAGAGCAATCGATAGACTCCTTGACTTAGCTATTGATGTAGAAGACCTTAAAAATATGTTAGAAAAGTTCAAAAACGACTCTGATAAGCTAGAGACTTACAAATCAGAATACAACCACTATCTCAACCTCTTAAGAATAAACTTCGAAAGCCTGAGAGAGGACTCGACTAAGATGCAGGAAAAAGAAGAGGAGAATTTGAAGAAAATAATCCATTCTTATCACGTTTTCCAGAAAGTTTACCTGACTAATCAAGAGGAAGTGCTTAAATAATTAAGGCTGTAGCTATAATTTCAATAATTTTTCATCGAAATGGGGTTTTGGGGTTTTGGGGTTTTGGGGTTTTGGGG